GGGGGCACACACCCACAATGTAATGGCGAGAAATGTTACCCTTCCAGGTTAAGGCAGAGTATCCTGGCTCAGGCAAAGATAATCTCCTTGACAGCCAAGGTCATAAAATAAATGCTGTGGGACAAGCACGAAACACAAGGACTGCCACTGTCTCTGCCACCTTTTCAGCCAGCCGGGCCTTCTGGCCTCCTTTCTTGGCCTGAGCTGCGAAGTGCCATGGATGAAATGGGAGATCCGTGTGGTTCCTCAAGTACTATCGGAACTGGAGCCCTGCCCGCTGTCCCCGGGAATGGAGCGCCAAGGCCAAGGGGACATTGGGACATTGGGATGACTGTCCTTGCCCGGTTCTGCTTTTAAGGTGGCTATATTCCTTGGAATTACAGCCTGTTTTCCCCGAACCTCCCTACAACATTTAACTCGTTCTCTGCCTGCCGGCTCCTATAGGAGAACGAAAACGAGGGAGCAGCGGTTTAGAAAATGCTGAAGAATTTGGCTTTTGACATTGCAAACCAAAAAGAGGGCGATAATTAGAGCAGACGCGAAGTTAAACAACTGTCAAATTCTGTTCAAGAACTTAACCTCTTCCATCACACACGCAGACCAGGCGACACAGATCGAGCCCTCTGCTAGGAGAAGGAGGCGAAGGCGATGCTCTGAAAATGTCCAGCTGGGCCACCTTAAAAAAGCGATCGCCTCACTGCGTTAGCAAAATGTGTTCTCGTGGAACACGAACGAGAAATTTTGCTTCCCCATCATATATTTGTTTAAGAGGAAGGAGAGAGAAGCAGCGCCCAGCTGCGCCTCACCACTTGCTGTGCGCCCCGGAAAGTCGCGTCCAGCAGCATCAGCTTCCAGGGATCCGACACGGAGCTGGGCAGCGGGATGTAGACGTAATAGGCGGCCAGGGCCACCAGGGCGGTGAGCAGGACACAGGACGACTTCATCCTCCCCCGGCTCCGCTCGCCAGTGGGTTGACAAGGAGGAGAGGGCGATACCACCTAGAGACCTCCAGCAAGTTTCTGCCAACGGCAGCTGTTCATTCACGTGTTTCTTATAACCCCAGGAGCCAATCACGGACGGCGTCGGGAGGAAGTCGGAGCTCTGACGTGCCCCCCTCTTCGGTGTCCTTGCAAAGTGTTGCAGACGCTCCAGGTTTGAGGAAGCTCCGGCGGCGCTGCTCTGGACGTAACACAGCGGACTCTGGAGGACACTGCTTTGTATTGCATGCCTGTGACGATCGGCCTCCTGAACGTTCTCAAATGGTTGAAAACCGAATACTTTGAGTGTGATTGGCCTCTGTCCAAGCACGTGAGTCATTCTGACTCAAAATGGAGATACAACTGAGGAAGATAATAAAAAATTTCTCTCTAATCGCGCGAGGTGTCACATGCTTGCAAACCCAGCAGCTCAGGAGGCTGTTAGGAGGGTGGCAATTTCAAGGCCAGCCTCAGCAATTTACGAAGCCCTAAGCAAGTTAACGAG